GTGGCCCAGGTTGCCCAAAGAAGCTGTGGCTGCTCCTCCCTGGAAGTGTTCTCGGCCAGGTTGGATGAGGCTTTGAGCAACCTGGTCTAGTGGAAGGTGTCCCTGCTCATAGCAGGGGGGTTGGAACTGGATGAGCTTTAAGGTCCCTTCCAACCCAAACCAGTCTGGTATTCTAACTGGTGTGGGGGATGAAAACTGCACCCCCAGTGACACCCCCGGGTCCAAGCGTGCTTCCACACACACAGGAGCTGTGGCTTTGTGCACGTATCCTTCCCATCCGTGCCCTTTTTTCATTTTGTTTTATCCTCTCTCTTTAGTGCTGCAATGTCCTTCACCTCCAAATATTGACAAAGGAAATCACAACAGCCAGGACTTGGAAGTTTTCACTGCTGGGATGGTTGTAAATTACAGCTGTGACCCTGGCTACAACCTCCTGGGAGAAGCATCGATTTACTGTACCGACTCTGGAAACTGGAGCCTCCCTCTTCCTCGATGTGCAGGTACATTGTGGTTCCAGGACAGGAGTTATGGATAGCCTGGGAATTTCTGCCACTGAAAGCCTGTAGGACTCCTCCTTTCCCTTACTCTTTCCAAAGTTTTGAATCCTTCAATCCTTCCCCTTTGTTTTCAGTTTTGCTTGTAAACTTAATATCCATTTTAAAACAACTTCGTGTAGTTGATATCCCCATTTTTCCCCGTGTTTCTTTCCTGATAGGTGGCTGCAGTGCACCTCCCAACTTAACCTTTGCTGAGCTAACTGAGGAATACAAAAACCTGACAGAATTTCCCATTGGGGACACTGTGCATTACAGCTGCCAGCTGGGATACATGAGACACCCTGGAGTACCCCCAACTCTGACATGCCTCAAAAACCACACGTGGTCTGAAGCACTAGAGTTCTGTAAAAGTGAATAGCTTAATCTGTTTTGTGTTGGTTCTTGAAAACTGTCTAATCTACGTTTGTGGGTTTCTTAAAGCAATTATTGAAAAACAAACAAAAAAAAGATTCATACATGGCTTTACTAGTCACATAGTTTGGGTAGCTATTGACCTTTTAAACATCACCTCTTTATTGGTGTCTGAATGTGGACAGATCCTTAAGATACCTTCTCATAGTGCATTACAGAAATGCAAGAGAAGAGTTTAAATTCAGCCTTGTTCTTTCCCAGGGAAACAGTGTAAATACCCAGAATCACCAAAGAACGGCAGAGTTGTTGTTCTGACAGATCTCCTTTATGGGTCAACTGTGAGCCACACGTGTGAAGAAGGGTGAGTCCCACTCTGTCTTTGCTGACTTCTTTTTCTGAGCTCAGTGTTTGGCAACTTCCAGTAAAGCCTCACTCCTCTGCATGGGCTGTTCTCCCACAGCAAGCCACAATTTGTACTTTGGTTCCACTTTTACCACACTTGCCTGCTCAGGCAAGGGAAATGTGCTTCTCATTTTTCACTGCCTCAATACATTACTTTGCAGACTTCAGTTTGCCTTCTCAGATGGCCACCCAGCAGGAGCTGAGTGGGCAAGTGAGCATGTGCTGCAAAAAGGTTCCAGCGGTTTGGAAATCTCTTGGATCTGAGTCTTGATTTATCACCTGACCGATCTAACTCAGAGTCATTTGGGATCATTGCTGTTCCTCTTGGACCTGGGAAGAAGGAACTTGGTGTCCTTCATTCCCATGTGTCAAACCAAGAGAAACACCTCAGTGACCACCCAGGATCAGGAGGCTGCAGAAGGAAACTTCTGGGGGTAGTGGCAGAGTGGGAGGGCAAAATCCAAACTGAATGACTTGGTATCAACTGATATTTCCTCCTGTGTAACTCCAGGCACCGACTGGTTGGACAGTCTCATAGGCGATGTGAGATTTTTGGACCAGATGTCACATGGAGTGGTGTTCTTCCTGTTTGTCAGAGTAAGTAGCTCACGACTAGATCTGGCCCAGAATTGCCAAATTAAGTCCTTAAAATTAAAAAAAAAAAAAAATGGCATGTCCTTAAAATAAATAGAACCTTGAGTAATAAGACTTGTTAAATGTAACGTTCCTCTAGGACTGTGTTGTTTTGCTTGCTTGGCTGGTTTCCTCTAAAAATCTTCCAGATGCTACCTTTGATCTTTCAGGATTATGTAGATTGAAGCATCGTGAGGTGCTTGCAGGGATCTGTCCCTTTGGTTTCACAAACATAAATATTAAATTAAGGAAGAATCGAGTCTTGCAGTAGAAGAGTGGGATATTGAGTAAAACTGAACTGAGATCTTCCAGCTACTGCGCTGTTACCCAAACCACAAGGCTGTTTTGCAGGGGGCTGATCATGGCAATTAGTCTTTCGTTCAGATGGAATTGCTTTGGAAGGCGTGAGCTTGGTATAGTAAAGCAGTCATGAGAATGACTAACAGTGCTTATGGATTTCTACACCTTTTAATATATTTATTGGAATGTATTTGTATTATTCTCTTTAGAGGCATAAAACTGTTTATATATACAAAAATGTTTATATATGCAATAATGTTTATATACACAATAAGGTTTATATATACAATAATGTCTATATATACAATAACAACCCTAGGGTACCTAAAGGAACTAAAAAGTCCTCAGTTCTTGAACTTACTCTTCTGTGAGTCTCCAAGTGTGAAACTCTGCAGTGGCACGTTAAGGATGGACTTGATATATACACTAATTACAGCATACATTTGGCTCCCTCTTTGAGATAACAAATTTATTTTTCAGAGGTGGTATGTCCAGTCCCACAGATTCAGAATGGGAGAATATCTCTTCTTAAATATCACTACACATACAAAGATACCGTTAGCTTTCAGTGCCATAAAGGTTTCACCTTGCGAGGCCATCGCACAGCCCAGTGCCAAGCTGATTCAACGTGGGATCCACCCGTACCAGCCTGTGAGCAGGGTAAGTGTCAGCACTCTGACTTGTTAACACTGCAGAATCCTCCCTGACTGCTAATACACACTCACTGAAGCCAAACTTGGCTTTATTTTTCCTGTTTGTTCCAACTACTTTAAAGAAAAAACAGAAATTGTTACTTTAATTTATGCCTCCCCTCTCAAACGGGAGGTTTTGGGTAATGCTGGAAGTATAAGCACGATTTGCACTTTTCTTACCCTGCTTGCTGCAATCCATAATCCACATTCTCTTCATTTCCTGTAAGTGAGAAATTTAGTAGCTTCATGGCAGGACACTGACTATTAGAGAGGAGTGAAATTTCTGCTGGAAATGTGAAAGCAGGATGATGGATAATGATGGTAAATTTGTGCATTGTATTTGCTCAACCAAATGTGTATTTTAAACTCTTAATGCTGCATCTAGATGGAGTGGCAGAACAATATCATCATCCTGATACCACAATGGAGCCAGGTAGGTCTATTATAAGTAGAGGAAAGATTTACTAAACACTAACTCCTCCTCCCAACCTGTCCTGCTTTTTGCAGGGAAGAGAGGTAACTGCATTTTTTTCTTACTCTCTTGTTATCACCTTTTTTCACAACTGAACATCACCTTCTCATCCTCTCCCTCTCCTCTTTCACTAGTGAGGTGTCTGCCTCCTCCAAGCATTGCTAACGGGGAGCACAGCAGTCCTTTCTCAGACACTTTTGATGTCGGAGCACTTGTGCAGTACCGCTGCAAACATGGTTTCTCCCTTATTGGGAATAAGTCCGTTCGTTGTACAACACACGGAGTCTGGAGCCATCCCCTTCCTCGGTGCGAAGGTGTGTTTCTGCTCTTTCCACTGAATATTCTCAGCTTTCTAAATGCATTAAACACGTAGTGATATTTGCCTAAGGACTTGCTGAAACAAGCTGTTGCTTCAGCAAAATCCACCACTAAAGAAAGAATGAGGCTTCTGTGGCCAATGCTCCTCTCTATCCCGCAAAAGTTTCACAGTCTAAAGGGTTCTCCACACCCTCACTGTCCACAGTTGGCTGTGTGAGTTGGGAATGGAAAAGCAATCAGATTGGAGTCCCCCTGTATGCCTGGAGACATCATTACAATTGAATGCAACACTGCTAATGTCCCAAAAGACCTTCACAGGTCACAGTGCCAGCCTGGGGACACATGGGATCCTCCACTCCCTGTCTATGAAAGAGGAAAGCAGGTGTTACCTGTCCTTTGTCTCTCCCTGACTTTCCAGCTGTGAAGTGTCCCCATCCTCCACATATCACCAACGGGAAGCTCAAAGGAAACATCTCTGAGGCTTTTTCCTATGGAGCATCTCTATCCTACAGCTGCAATCCTGGTTATTCCCTCGTTGGAAATGCTTTCATCAGCTGCACAGTGTCAGGAACCTGGAGCCAGCCTCCTCCTCAGTGCAAAGGTGGGCTAGTGCTGAGTTTGCTCATGTTGTTTGGATCTGGAAGGCAATTTGAATTCTTGCATGTTTTCAATCTCTGCTCTCATTGTTATGGATCAGTTGTATGGTAACTTTCCTCCATTCAAATCTTTTTAGTTTTAGTAGAAGAGTAGAAACTTTCTCCCTTCCCTTCCCTTTTTGTGTGTCTCACTCATCAGTTATCACTAACAGGAAACAAAGGAAATTATGATGTCAGGGAATTTGTCTCTGATGGACGGTCTGTAGATTACACATGAGCCTGCCTATTCCCATCTTGGAAAAATGCTTTTATATCTGAGACTTGGCACTTCTGTAGAGCTCACTGTGAAGGTCACTCATCGGGCAAACTTGACTGAAGGCAATTTCACGAATGTCACAAGATTCCTAGTGTGGGTGTTCTGGCACAGAGAACCGGACATTGACTGGAATAAATTCATTGCCCAAACAGGGTGCTTCTTTGGTGGAGCTGCACCCACCCCAGTGACCCAAGAGTTGAAATGCGCTTGGATAACAATGAGAGGAAATAATGTACCAAATGCTTATTTATATAAGTCAGAGGCTCTTAAAGGAAGCAGTAGCCCAGAAAAATTCTCCCTGCCTTTCCACATTCTTGAGGTTTTGAAGTGTCCTTAGTAACTATTACGTATGAAATTAAAAATAAACATTAAAAAAAAAAAATAAAAAAGTTGTGAAACGAAGGTTAAAAGTTACCCATTGATGTTACCCCTTTGGTCTCCACTGAAAACCTTCTCCTCCAGAATTCCTGTCCTTGGACTGTCAAAGGTGATTAGACACTTAAATTGAAGAAACTAACTCACTTTATTAAAATCAGTGACAGGTATAAATAGCTTAGGTGGCTGGACTAATTAATAAATTAATTATTGAGAAATAATATGGCTGGTAATAGCTTTTAAGGGCAAGGGACTTCTATAGACTACCCTCTTCTGCAGACACAAAGAAAACTCTTATTCTCTGTGGAATAAGAATTAATTCCAGGTTATATTCAGAAAGAATTCAAAACCAATGTCTTAAATAACCCACTGCTGTATTTCTTGTATTTTATGTTCCTTCTCATTATTTTTATTTATTTATTTATATTTTTTTAACTCTAATTTCAGAGGTGAGATGTGTATTCCCGGAAGTTCAAGGTGTTAAGAAAGCCATAAAAGGAAATACTTATCGCTCTGGGACTAACATCACTCTTGAATGTGATGATGGTTACACATTGGAAGGCATCAGTCAGATTCAGTGCCAAGAGGACTTCAGCTGGGACCCTCCTGT